TTATTATTATTATTATTATTATTATTATTATTAATGGCAAACCTCCTCATTTCACAACATTCCAGAGATCAAAACCAGCACATGTGTGGTGAAGCAATATTACAGTGTGGTCAAGATGGCAAAAGTTGTTAATGAGAAAGAATACACAAGCTAGGAAATGTTGCAGCAATTTTCTTGTGCTTGAGTCTACAGGGAAGGGCAAGATTCTTCTCCCTCCTCTCCTCCCCTGACAGAGTTACCTGAATGCAAACTGCTTTTGCACTTTGAGTTCAGTTTGCAGCAATTGCAGTAAGCTGGGGACGAAGAGAGAAATTGGGAAGAGGTGATAGAAACTGGGACATTTTAAAAGTAGCCAAACAAGTGGGATGACAGAGGATTAATTGAGACTATGGGTCTATACAAACTGCCAGAAATAATCCATCTTGAGACCACTTTAACAGTCTTGGCTCAGTGCTAAGGAATCATGGGAACTGTAGTTTATTGTGGCACTAGAGCTCTCTGTCAGAGAAAGCTCAATGTCTTAGAAAAAAACTACAATTCCTATGATTCCCTAGCATTGAGCCAGGACAATTAAAGTGGTCTCAAACTGGATTATTTCTGGCAGTCTGTATAGGCCCTATCTCTGCCGAATTGGGACAATTGGAGGGCAAGCATTTGGAAAAAATGAAAGAAAAATTGAAAATCATTTTGGAGTTCAAGATCAATTTAAACACCAGAATTTTAGGGACAAAGTAATATGAATATTAGAATGAAACTAAAGCTATTCCTTTTTGCATAGGAAGCTATTTAAAATGCAGTGAGTAAAGAAGAAAAGCTAAAATGAGCCTAGGCTCAAGTTTCTTTCACACTATAGAGGTATATCATTTTAATACCACTTTAACTGTTGCAACCTATAAAGTCCTGAGAGTCCTAGTTAGGTGAAGCACTGGCAGCAAATTCTAAATAACACCAGGAAACTAGAAATTCCACAGTTCCAAAAGGTGGAGCCATGGGATTTAAAGTGATTTTGAAGAGCTGTAATTGTCCAGTGTGAAAGCGTTCTCTCCCTTTGCTTTCTTTTATCCGATCATGGATATGTTTCAGAATCTGGGGAAAAAGCAGACAGATTTTATTTGTCCTGCAGTGTTGTCCTGGGTAAGACCCCTTAGATTGATGCCATGGTCATTGATTTCAACAGAATGAGTAAAGCCACTTCTCAGCCCCTTCTGTTCCAAAGAGATCCCTTCTACTGTTCATTCCTTGCCTTTCCAAGGAGAGAGTGGAAATGAGAACTTGCTGGCAGACCGTTCATTTCACAAATTGTTTTAAAGAGCTGGGCTGGGCTTTGTATCAAATGGCACAGAGTGATCTATTAATCCCTTCCAGGTCCCTGCCAGGATCCTCCTCCTCCTCTTCTTATTCTTCTTTCTCCTCCTCAAACCACTTGTCACCACTTTCTTGCCTTCTTTCCTTTTTACTTGTGGTGAGAGTTATCCATAGTACACTTGTCATGAACAGATTAAAGCTTTTATTAGAGAATGTTTATAAATACAATTTAACATAAAATAATAAGTAATACATATCAAGTCCAAAGAATGCAGTTGCATATATATATATATATATATATATATATATATATATATATATATGTATATATATATAAAATAGTATAGTAACATATAAAGAAATTAGATATAAAGCAAATTTCATTCTTAAAATGGATTAAATTATTAAAACATATTTTAGGTAAATTAAGGCATACTAAGGGAACCAAAATATATATCCATTACTTTTAAATCACCAATGGCAAACACTAATGGCAAACACTAATCACCAATGGCAAACTAAATGGCAGACGAATTACATCCAAGGGTATTAAAAGAACTGGCAAATGTAATA